CATGCGGTGTTAACTCCTCCTGTCAAAATAGTAGTGACTACACCTGGCAGATGGCGGTGTTGCAGCGGTTAAAGATTTTGTAAAATGGGTTGCATATGAAAAACAGCATTACGATCATAAAAAATATTATCATTATTTTTATTTGCACTGCAGTGATTAGGGTTGTCTACGTTCAAAAAATTTTTTTATTAAAATTGGTAACGATAATAATACTTATTTGTAATGCTTTTCATTGGAGAAGAAATCGGGAAATACCACGTGTAAACGTTCAAATGTCGCGTCCGTGACCGCGAAGCGCGTAAAGAGAAAAATAGAAATTGTCTGTAGTTATCAATGAGAGTATTTGAAAAATATGAAAATGTAAAGTTGGTTGTTATCATTTGTCATTCATAAGAAGAAAGCAGGAAAGAATTTTTGAAAAAGGTAAGTAAAGAAGTACAAAAAATGAAATGTTATGAACAAGTGGTGCATGCATAAATAGTGGTAGAATATGTGAAAAAATAGACAAACGTGTTGTCCATTTACAAAAAGTAAGGACGGTGGAAGTACAGAATACTGTTTACGTGAGGAGCAAATACAGTAAAAAAATATTATGCATATAATATATACATACATATATACATACGTACTGTACCTACAAGTGCATGTGTGTACATATATGAAAAGATAAAGATAAAAGGCCTGCTTCGGCAACGTTGAAATGTATATGTTTTTTCTAAAGATTCGCCAACTTTATTTGTTTGGCACCTTTCAAATTTTCGATGAGGTACCTAGGTATCTCTTTAAAAACTTAAAAACGATAACAGATAAAGCTACCTGATAATTACCCGAAAACAAATAAATCACATAATATCACATATGTATAGGTACCTATTATGCTGTTATCTTATTAAAAGTGTGTTTATGAACAAAATGAAGTTATGCAAAAGTAAATAAGCGGGCACTTTCGTTTCTTATGTTAAGGTCATTTCTAAAGAAAAAAATAAAACAAAATCGGTACAACTCGATAGACGATACCGAGAAAAATGTGTTAGTAGTCTCATACATTTTTTGCATTATAAACATAAAATGGGCAAAGTCAGAAGGAAGGCTGATGGAACATTGTTAATATCTTATACTGCAAAGTAGAATTGAACTCATACTTGTTAGGTAAATGCTCCAATCTAGCAATTGTTATTGATATACGAGTTTCTTTTAAATATGTACACTACAATTGTTGACAAAATGGAAGTTATCGAAACACCAGTAAAAGTTGCATTCAATATTTTCTGTAACAGTCGAATATGAAAAGGAAGAAATGAATATTGTTTTAACATCTAATTACATGAGAAGAAAAGAAGTAGTACATAAATTGTACGGTTCAACAGTAATTGAAAAAATTGTAATTGCCTTGTCGAAAAAGCGTAAAATGCAATTTAGACTTATGCTATATTTGTTGGTATTATGCTTTTATCAGAAACGTTGTTCATTGAAGAAAAATTGAAATAGTTTTGTTTTTTGTATGAGATGTCCAACATACACGTATGATGTGTTTGTATATTATAATAACAATATATGGCGTATGTGTAATGCTAAATTGAATAAGGAAAAGTATTTCAATAACGACTAATAACTTAACGAATGTTTTGACTGTGGTAGGTATTAATAGTATAATCTACATTCTACAAAATAGACATCGTTATCGGAAGCAGTTTATTTATTTATGAAGTACCGACATGTACATTTCGTTTCGCTTGCGCGTGACCTTGCTTCCGTTGTAGTGCGAATTTGAACTTGGATTTGAAAGAAAGAAAATTATACGTACATAACTGATTGGTCGACAGTGATTTATTTTTCTTGTACTCAATTATACAATGGAACTAAATGACATGTGCTTGCAAAATGAAGTTTCATTAAATTCACTTGACAAAAAAAGAGTGAATAATCTCCTCATGCAAACTACTAATCCGGTAACTTGACAAAGTACAAATAACACCGTACCGAAAGAAAGTTTTCGTGTACTGTTGACATACATCCTGTAAATGAATTACATTTCTAATTTTGTTGCAGAAATAATTACAATATAGAAAACAACATTCGTAAATATGCAAATGACGAAAATATAAATATAAATATTCAATAATTTTCTTTCTGGGACTGTACAGTTGTTTGTGTAATATACACCTAATGAAGTACGCTAACATAGGGATAGGGATTTTAGTTGGGAAATTAGTTAAACTTCACTGATTAAAATGAGGATAATAATAATACATTATTGTTTATAAAATCCAATTGGCAAACAAGTATAACTATTGCATCTTTAATGGGAAATTTCCGCAAAAACATGATTTTACAAAAAAACTTCAATCGTCTTCCTTGTCTTGTCTTGTTATTTTTAACGCAATTTTTTTTCTTCCTTCGCGTTCCATCAAAATGAAGCTTTTTAAGAGTCAGAACAAATGCAATTTTTACCGATCACTCTAATGTATATATTTCTCCATCAGTCTACAAAAAAGTACCTACTTTTTGTGTTACGCATTTGTTTTTTTAAAACAGCCAGTGCGTCATTTCTACTGCAAAGTATTGATATTATTTGCAGGTAATCGCAGAAAATAGTAAAGTAATGTTTCCGAATGTGTTCTCATAAATAATTACACTTATCTCACATCTTCGTTTTTTAATTGGATGAAAGTGTGTGTGTTATACATATGTAAAGATTTTCATATAACTTACAAACACACCTTACACGGCCTTTTTGCTAAACATCGCGGATAATTGCTTTATGTATATTGAATTTCATTGCTATATGGATGTTGAAGTTGAATCAATTAAAAAACAATTTCAAAACAGCTAACTGCCCCTCCTTCAGTTGTCTTGCTGGAAAGCTTCACTAATGTCCAATATTTATGCATATTTTTTCTACAACTATTCTGTACCTTTATAACTACAATTTTCATTATTTTTACAGATTTCACAGTCACCTATCATCGCCGCTCCCCTACGACCCTCTCTTTTAGTTGTCTTGCCACAATTTCGGGTAAGTGTTTCCAAAAAGTTTGACCAACGTTCCATTTTTATGCATACCTTTTCTTGAACGTATTCCGTGCGGTACCTTTATACGTATAATTTTAATTATTTTTACAGATTTAACCGTCACCGATAATTTTCGCCACTCTACGAGCATCCCTTTAACTTGTCCTGTCACAGTTTTTGGTAAGTTTTCCAAAAAAGGTTGACTACACTTCAATTTTCATTCATACTTACTTGTCGACCGTATTCGGTGCGGTAC